GCCCGATTACAGAATAAAATCTGATTACATAATAATTTAATTAAATAATATAATATATTTTTTGTAATATTTAAAATTTTTTTCTTATTTTATTAGATAATAACTTCATTAACTTAATTTAAAAATAAAAATAAAATATCATTATATTCTCTAATTTATTTTCCTTTCTAAATTGTGGACTCTAACTCTAATTCTAAATTTTCAATTCACTTGTAACTCTATTTCTTATAACTAGTCTATGATTCTATTTTGAGAAGTCTAAATTTTTAATTTGTTCTTAAAATAATATTCTGATTCTCTTAATTAAATTTTAAGAAATATCATTCTAAAAGTTTTAAAACTATATAATATAACTAAATTTGATATTCTACTATTTTTTGGATATTTGGTTAAGAAGTTTTAAATTTTAATTATGAATGCTTCTAATCATTCCTAATGACATTTATTTAAATTTTAATTGCTTTTAACTAGGTTTGGAAGATGGGATTGAATCATTTGCTACATTAAGGAAAAAAAAAAATTAGTTTTAACCTTTAAGAATTATTTGTATTGTATTTAAAATTTAAAGTTATCTTTTATTATTCTTGATGTGTCTAATGATGTAGTCAAAAAGAATTCCCAAATCTTTTCAATTTTTACAATTGTAAATGAGTGTAAGAATTTGCTTATAATTTGTGCATTTTATTATATTTCTAGTAATTTGGATGTTAATGTATTTTATAGCTATATTTTCTATTTAATGTTAAAATTTTTTATATTATCTCATATATTTAATAGTGTTAAAAATCAATTAATCCGACTGAACCACACCGATCCGATTTAAGTTGGATTGGTTTGGTGATCATATAATAGTAGATTGAATTGATTTAAAAATATTATTAACCGATTAAATTAGATTAGTTTAAAAAATATTAAAATCCAAACCAAACCACACCGTGAACACCCCTATCTTGTGACTTAACGCAACCCATACTACCTATTACCCATCAACCCAACATCCAATTCCATTAATACAATATTTGGCATGATAAAAAATTGGGTAACAAACTTGTTCCACTAATAACCCTAGCAATTTAAGTGGTCTATTAGAAGAAGCTATTATTATTGTGTATATGTGTTTTGGCTATAGCAATTACCTAATGTCTAAAATCAGTTTTTAGTTTTTAGTTTTTTTTTTCTTTTATGGGAAAATCAATTTTTAGTTATGGTGTATGTGTGAGGGTTGGGTTTTTAATTTTTTTAGACCTTTTTGAGTGAATTATTGTGTAGCCTACAAACCTTATGTATTAGTTTTGAAGCTTGTTGTGGAAGTTATAAACTCTAATATTCCCTAAATTGGACAAAACTTATGATAGGGACGGGTTAGTTGTCATACGATGTTAGTTACGAAATACATCCAGTTTTCTTTGATGTTTTTCATTTCCAAGTTCCTCCATGTGAATAGAGATGAGAGAGAGGAAGAAAAGAAGGGAAAAAAAATCAAAAAAATGAAAAAAAGGAAATAATCTATCATTTTTGAATAAATGTTAAAAAGCAAATCTTGGCCTTTCAATATCATTTAACAATTGTTACGACATTTCTTTGGACATCAAGTTTAACCATTTGGTATTGTAGCAGTTTGAGTCTCTAATATTGTCTTGAAATCAAAGTCTTTAAATTAGTGAATATTAACTAAGCCAAACTTTTATTAGTTGCAAAATAACACAACTATCAAGTCTTTAACTAATTATTAACCTACCAATGACTTATGCATTTAGTCATAATTTTTCTTTTAAGTGAAGAAAAAGATGTTAAATATGAGTCATATATAGTTTTTACGCATGATAGAGAAAATTATAATGGTGTGGCAAGCCCATCCCATTGGGTCTCATCTTCTCTTATTAAGCCACCCTCCTTTTCTTTCTTTGTTGATCCTTTATAATTTTTGTCACACCCCAAACCTTAGAGCAAAATAGACATTGTACACTTATGAGTGAAGTTAGTGCACAAGGTTCAAAACCAAGTTAATTTATTATGTAAGGCCAAAACTAATAGCTAAAGCGTGAAAATATCTTAAATATTATTAAAAGTAAAATAATATTCAAAGGAATATTTCTAAGTCAAGTTATGCAATGGTTGTTGATTAGGTCTCTAAACTTTCTAATATTGGCAAATAAGTCCAAAACCAAATCAAGTCTCAACTAAGTCCTGATCGAATCTAATAAGAAACCATCATGCACTTGGATCCTTGATGTCTTTAGTATTGTTACTTGAAATGGTGAATAAGGAAAAAACATGAGATACAATCCCAATAAGTGAATATTAGATTCCCCTTTTATTTTTAATTAAGCATGCCAACAAGTATAAATCTAGGATCACGTAAAACAGGTACAAGTACAAGTAGTGTAGACATCTCCTTTACAAGTCATTGGCAGGCACAAGATTACTAGTGCATAATTCCACTAGTTAGATAACAAGTATAACAAGAATGAACTAGTTTTATAAGTAACATATCGACATGTGTTAGTTTTTATAAATCTCCCACTAGTGAGTAACGAGTATATACATGACTATATCAGAAACTAAAATAAACTAGTAAGTATATCTCAAATAAACACGCTTGGTTCAAGAAAAGAGGTACATGAGGAATCAAGTAGTATGTGTTGCTAATGTTGTAGTAACAATCCTATGTGGCATTTAATGAAATATGAAGTGGTTTAAATGAGTGAATGCATACAATATTATAGATGGACCCTTATATGAAAAAAAAACTAAATGTATAATGACACATTATGTTGTATTTTTACAATGTCATGTGACATTGTAACTATAGCATTTTCGCAATGTTTGGGAGAATTTTCTATCAATAGGCATGTTTAAACATATAAAATTCATTTTAAATTACAATAAGATTTAATCATATAATTATGTGAAAGGGTTTTTAATCTTACCACCATCTTAAAAACAGTATAAATCATACTTTAAAATTATATTTTAAAACACTAGGGGGTATAGCTATAAATCCACTTACCTCAAATATAAAGAAAATCTTAATTAAATTCAAAATGTGCAACAATCAAGAACCTAAAATTTATATTGAACAATGATAAGTTAAAATTCAGAATAAATTATAAAATCAAATTTACCCTTTAACCCCAATTTGATTTAGTCAACATTATTTTATAATATTTATTTAATTAGTCAACAGGTATTGACGCTTGTTTTGTGACTAGAATTGAGGTGTTGACACTGTTGGCCAACCCCCTATCAGACATCCGATGCTGCAGTGCTGCACACACACCACGCACAATTGTGCTGCCACGCAGCACCGTCATGCATCATGTGGCTGTTGCATAGCAGCATTCCATGTAATCACTCATTTTGCTTATTATTATTATTATTATTATTATTATTATTTTATTTCTTAATAATAAAACATCACATCATCTCAAATAAATGCTATGATTTCACTAGAAACGGATGTTGTGGTCAGACCACCTCTCGCCCGCCCTTTATTTATTATCTATTGATATAAGAATATGAAAACTTATCCAAATCTGAGATCAAACGTAAGATTCAAGAGTAAACTTTGGTAGCAAAGAGGAGAAAGGTAAGATTTGGAGATTTAAAAATTAAATTTTAGTGTTATAATTCATGAAAATACATAAAAATCAAAGGAAATCATAAGAATCAAGTATGTTTACCTCTAAAATTTCACCATTGAACCAAAAAAGAGGAAGACAACTTGAGCAAGGAGGAGGAGGCTACTGTTACGAGACATATCTAATTTTAGGAAGGGAATATGGTTGAGTAGTAGACATGGAGTCCATCCATCTATATATATATATATATAATGCAACCTTATGCGTATGTATTATATATATAATATACAATAATATATTATATATTTTTATTTATTATTTATTATATAATTATATAATACAAATTACAAATCAAGACTCATTAATTTCTCATAATAATTGAAGATAATTTAGATGAATAGTATCATCAAACATTAATTTGGCCCTAAAATTTGTTATTTAATTTTAATTATAAAAGAATAAATTATGTAAATAAATTTATTTAGTAATATGAGTTCAACCTTTTTATCTTATCATATTTTTTGTCTTCTACTTTTTATCTTTATATTCTCAATTATTTTATCATTATTAGTTTTCATTACATACATAATATAATGTAATGTATTAAAATAAAGGAAGATGAATAGATGCCTAAAATTTATGAAGTGAAAAAGTATAAGATTGTAATATATAGCATAATAACTATTTGTGCAGTTATAATTTTCTTCTTCTTCATGTACAATTGAGAAGTTTCATTTTTCATTTTACTTTATAATGTATTGATTAGATATTAAATGTTTTTATTTTTATTTTAAAAGAGAAATATACATTTTATTAAAAAAATAGAAGATTGCATTAAATATTAAATATTATTTCTCCATATCCTTTCATCTTACTACCCACCTATATATAAACTCTCATTTTTCTCCACATCAATATATATATTTTCCTCTTCATTTATTCAATTTCTTTTTGTTTCCTATTTCATATTGTACCTAAATATAATATTATATTTTTATTTTATATGTCTTTTTCCATTTTAGTTTAAAATATATATATAT